CACAAGAGGACGTGTCGACATCAGGCCATGAGCTCATTACAATTTACATATTATAAGGTAAGAACACGTAATATGCTTTCATCCTTTCACAGATATAACAACCTTATTAAAACGTTATTGATACGGCTAGAGAAAGCTGGAGATGTATAATTACATTCGTTTAAAGCCATGTGACTGTTTTGAAATATTCCCAACAAATAACAGGCTTTGTCAAGCGACCAAATAACGATCTTGTAACAGGCCATCATACGCACAAGGAACGTTAATGATCATAAGATACCTTTGCGAGGAGTTCTTCCTGTTCAATCAATATGCATTTCATCCCTTTCAACACGTGGACAGGTATCTTTCGCATGTCACCGGCCTTCGATCGACTATTTTTATAACTTGTGACCGAGATCAGTACACACAAACTAGCGAAACTGACACTCGGACTTTAGCATAACGTATTCTTGATTTTCACCAAAAATCACTGGGATTTAACGATGGACAATGATGCCAGTGAGAATCTAATATTCGGAGTAAGTGTAACAGTGGACTATATTTTCAATAACGATGATATGTTTATATGTGAAAACAACTTGCTGAAATTTTGAAGATTGATGTCATAACAGTATCTTTACGGAGATGTATCTAAATCTTCGAGCTGTGATTTCCTCCACGTGTAGTGTGCTTGTTATCATATTGATATGTATAGTTTTGAACGCATGTGTGTGGGTACGCAGCATTCTGGTTAGTCGCATGACCAGCGGTCACTTCATCAAGGATACACTCGCCGGACATTGGATTACAGACCGAAAATGCACATCGATGCCATGCATGCCAATAGATCCAGGAAGTTGAGAAGTGTAACGATCTATCCACAAACGGATTCTTTAATCTTTACTTTGAATAATCCTGATGTATGTAAAGTAAGCCTCCGTGACCCGGATGAAGGTTTGTCTCTGTTGTTCCTTGTGCACAGTGCTCCGTATCACTTCAAAAACAGAGAAAATATTCGTTCAACGTTTACGAATCAATCTTATTTCAGTCTGCACACTGTGCGAGTGGTTTTTGTTGTAGGGGTATCAGAGTTCAAAACAGGCAATACAAAACTTACTGCTGAGCATCGGAAGTATGGTGACGTCATACAAGGTGACTTCCGGGACTCGTATCACAATCTCACGCTGAAGGCTATAGCAGGATTTCATTGGATAACAAAATATTGCCGCAACGTCAAAGTCGTCGCAAAAATTGACGACGACACCTTTGTGAATACTGTAATGTTCCTTCAAACATACTTGCCGTTTCTCACCAAGAGGAAGAAGAGCTTGATCTGCCATCGCCTTCCATTCATGAAAGTGAACGCCCGGGGTATATGGACCGCCATGGAGATAGCGGCCACCCTGAGGTACTACCCAACCTACCCTTGGCATCACTGCAGTGGGTATGGCGTATTTATTAGAGGAGATCTGATTGGTCCGTTGTATAAGGCGGCTACCATCACTCCGCTGCTGTGGGTGGACGATGTCTATGTAACAGGCATGCTAACGTCTAGAATTAACGGAGTTACATATAAGTACGCTCCTAATCGGATGTTGAATCACTGTTTTCATAAACGAAAATGTAACATGTTGTATGGCAATGTCCCAGTTAAAGACATTCCAACAATTTGGAAATACATGTTTAGGGAGCGTTACCACAAGGCTTATGCGTGATGTCACTTGGTGAATGTCTGTTCTACATAAAACACATGTTAACTTGCAGTCCTGGGGACCACCGGAATTATATCGACGTAGACGCAGGTTGGGACATGTGCACGATTCCACCGAGGCAATGAAACTACAGGCCGAGTTGACCAAGTGGTGGTGTGTGGCAGTGAGGTGATTTCTAAATGGGTTTATACGAACTGTGCAAGCTAATGCAACACAAGAACAAACATCGCTACTTCAATAAAAGACATGTCTGGGGTTTGCGTTTTATCTATTGACGGTGTCACATGTTTACGAGAGCTGTATCTCGGGAAATATACACTGTATACCATAGGTACATTGCTGGATTTGAATATCCCGAGCATGACACAACCATGAGATGTTGCACGGTGATAGTTTGAGATCAGGGATTAATGAGATGACCTAAATACACCTCTTTGATTGTTATATCACATTATTATTTTTATAAAACGTTCGGGTGGTGAATTATTTACAGTGATGTATAATGTTCCACGCAGTCAGATGTGACGCAATGGACCAATGTGCCGAATCCTAATCGGCTCCTAAACTCCCGGCTGAAAGTACCACACAGTCGCAGGGCGGTGGTGTAGTCTAGTAGTTCGATGTCTGGTGTCCCCCGCCGTGATATTGCTGGAATATTGCTAAAAGCGGCGTAAAACCATACTCACTCACTACAACACAGTCGCGGCAAGCACTGCTCACGACACGACTCTTTGAGGCCTTTTACGAGCGATTCTATCGACTCTTTGATCTCATTGTTTCAAGTGGACTCGATGCTACACATCCTGAGAGTTGATCAAATAAACGATGAATATATAAGTTAATCCTAAAAGGTTTTCGCTACTAGAAATATTTAAGCACGTAAAACGTATTTTGTGTATTAACCCTAAAAAACAAAAATACACGTTTTTGATAAAACCCAATTTGCTACCAGTATAAATGTCATCTAGTATGAACTTGGATTACAGATCTAATAAACGTGACGCCAAAGCGTGAGTGACCGGACAAGGCGATAAATTGGGTCCAAAGTGTTTTGTTTACAACAAAAATAACGTTATCGAACAAATATAGTTTGATTTAGATCCTGAAGCGCCATAAAAGGTGACTTAGAAGGTCGAAGTTTGTGATTTATAAATTTAATACACCCCCTTACGTAAGCGATCTTGTTGATCATGGAAACATCGACCTGTGCTCTTAAGAAAGCATTTTTCTCGTATCTCCTGTCAATTAGATCGAACTAAGTGTTTTACTGGGGTTTAAACGGCGTGTAGAAACGTGTAGTGTGTTTACTCTGGCAACCTCTCAGTGCTTAAAAAAACTGAGCACATTTTCAAATTTCTTAAGAATACTTGTCTGTTGTATGTGTTTGTTTCGTAACGTCGCCCCCAGCAATATATCAGCTGTGACAAGCCGAGTCCGGGCCAGACAATCAAGTGATTGACAACGTGAGCATCAAACTTCTGGACATGTTTAAGTGCTTAGCATTTGCCGTTGATGCAAATACCGATAAAATGTAGAATATATTGAAAGTAGGTTTCGTTATCAATCAGATAAACTATTTTTCGCATTGCTAAGGTCTGAATATGGTATTCGTAATTCGCCGGTTCCACTATGAACAATAATTCAAACAAATAGTATGACGAATGGGGAAAATATCAGGATTCGTTCATCAGAAGTTCAACGTAAGACCCCTAGTGGATGCCTCGTAGTAACCTACCCTTCCGGAAGTAATACAATCCATTCCTTCCTGAACCAAGGCGGGGAATTTGCAACGTGAAAATGAACGAGAAAAGTACAGTTAAGTGGTCGTTGTTTTTTAAGAGAAACGTCTTATATGTACCAACACATAGTTTGACCAGATCACTGACATGAAGCTTCAACCCTTAATATAATCGATTGTGATTGAACTGTGCAAATGTCAGCCTCGGTATCCTTTTGTTTGCTTTAATTTCTGGTAAATATTGTTAGTGTTTCTCCTGACGTTTGTACTAAAAAAAACCTCTCACGTGATGTACATGCATGATCTCTGCTTTCAGTCAACGGCTATTAACTCGTGGGCAGACGGAAAGTCACTGATAATGGAAATATGGAAGTGATAAGTGATTTAGAGAGATTTCAGAGATTTTCTTATCAAAGTCCAGGACTATGTAGTCAATACTAGTGGTGTTCCGATTAATTGAAATAATCGAAGATTGGTCGCAGTGACCAAACGACCAAGCAATCTATCACAATTTCTCATAATCGAACATAAACGATTTTGGAACTACTGTTTTAGTCTTTGAAAAACTTGACAACTGAACATATCTTAGAAGTTGTCAGGGCCTGAAAACGTGTTTAATTCTTAGAAAACTCACTTCACTAACTGAAAAGCCATGACTGAATGTTTCTCTAAGACTCAAGGAAGTTTATGTTCATGATATATTAGTCATCACTTTAAAGTAGCAAGTTGCATCATGTTATACATATCTGCAATAACAATATGGATGGGAAAATCTGAAAAATGACGCTAACCAATTTTTTTCGATGATTGTTCGTTGGTAATGAAGCAATCATCAATTGTGAGATTTCAACAAATTCCCAACACTAGTCAATACTAGCTCTGATAACTCAGTAAAGATACCCCCCTGATATTGTTGACAGTAACCATGTTGGAAGTATGTTTTGAAAATCGTGTAGCATCTTTTGAATCTTTTTTTTAGATAATAACTTCTAACAGATGAATAATTAATATGTAGAAGTTGAGCAAACGAGAGATTGTTTAGGCAGAGGCCTGGTCACTACATGACCGGAAGTTACCAAAGTTCAGAGCTCATTCTTCACCACTCACCCCTTTCCGAAATTCCAAAAAGACACGGTTTGTTCCGGAATAACACGAGTTGGTCACGAATATTCAGACCTTTGTGGTTCCGAAAAGGGGCGAGGTTTGCGGATTGAGCAAATTGAAAAAATCTAAAAATGCATTCCTTAAACTAGTCGACACAATACATGAGTTATGAACCTGTGACCGATGTTATGATCATTTCTCTACTCCTGTTTTATATCCCAATGTCTGTGGTTGTTGTTACGAAAGCTGCCCACAATTACCACTGTAATGACATAACGCAATGGGGATCATGTATGAGTCTCTATGGGTCTGATTATTTATTACATATGACGAAATGTATCTAAGAGCGAAATGTAATGTGTGCAATAGTAAAATACATGTGTATTGGCGATTATTAAACAGCGACGTTTGTGTTCAAGGGATGTAGTGCCTTACTGACTTTGTTGATGGGACAACCTTCGAACTGAAACATTGTCAAGATTTTATTTCATTTGGGGGTGATGGCTGGTTGTTTACAGAATGTACACAGGTTTGTTCAGATATCAATACCTGTCGATTCCCCCGTCTATTTGCCGATATGTTTACGAACAGTGGCCAAAGAAACCCAGTACTCCAGCCTTGCATGTGAGCCCATTAGCACAGGGACAAGTCTCGTGAGAGTTCATGTTGATGAAACACATCCGTCCCGTGGTACCATGAGCCTGGCAACGGATAACGTATGCAGGTTTAGGGCCAGTGGCCTCAGGTATGTAAGCCATGCCCTGGAAGTAGACAGAAAGTGTTGTGAATATGCATGAAAATCCTTATGTCATGAATCCAGACATTGAGAAATTATTTGCAATACCGGTAAAGAAACGACAGAAAGATCTTTAGTCAATGTCACAGCTTCGGGACAAATAGCAAATAGTGCAAACAGCATTTAATTTCAGTATCCAGTTGCTAAGGAAACGTAATAACGAGTTATTGAAGCGTACATAACCAATTCTGAAAATTACAGAAGATACCATATTTACAGTTTTGTAAATACTTTGACAGCAAGTATTGTATACATATGTGAGCAATTTGGTAAGTATAGCTAATTAATGTAATGTTTACAGGTACATAATGAATGTTGTACACATCCTTCATTTCACTAAGATTACAGTTTGTATATGTACAATCAGCTTCTGTACAACAGCCCTCATGTAAACAAGTTGCAGGTTGTGCGAAGGTTTTCCAAACTTACAGAGTGCCCTTATCAGAGATATATGCTACAGGTGTATTATGTGTATTTCAAAGTTTGATATTGAATCATTCCAACATGACCTTGACTTTGCAAAATTGCAAAGTAAATTAATCACAAACATCTGAAATGTAAACAAAGGAAGTCTGAAAACAGTAAATAACTTACCCCATCTCAACTTAACGTTAGTGTTACAAATAAAGTAACATTAATGGGGTAACAATGACAATCCCCCATCTCCAAATGCTAGAGATTCTACATGGACTTGATACATGCCAGCTGTCCAACTCCCCCGTCCCCCAAGAACTGCAAACTTACCATCCCAAAGAATTTGTTTAGAAATATCATCTAAATTTAAAACGTAATACTCTAATATTTTGTACTCGTACCCCTGACCAATATATGTACTGGCCGACTTGAAAAGATGTATTGCTATGGCAGTGTATATATCGTAGTCAACTCATCACGTTTCATTGACAGGTGTCTACAAGTTACTAACCAAGTACCTCTTGATGGTAACATTTATATGTGTCTACAAGTTACTAACCAGGTACGTGTTGATGGTAACATTGATAGGTGTCTACAAGTTACTAACCAAGTACGTATTGATGGTAGCATTGGCAGGTGTCTACAAGTTACTAACCAAGTACGTCTTGATGGTAACATTGACAGGTGTCTACAAGTTACTAACCAGGTACGTCTTGATGGTAACATTGATAGGTGTCTACAAGTTACTAACCAAGTACGTCTTGATGGTAACATTGACAGGTGTCTACAAGTTACTAACCAAGTACGTCTTGATGGTAACATTTATATGTGTCTACAAGTTACTAACCAAGTACGTCTTGATGGTAACATTGATAGGTGTCTACAAGTTACTAACCAGGTACGTCTTGATGGTAACATTGATATGCGTCTACAAGTTACTAACCAAGTACGTCTTGATGGTAACATTGACAGGTGTCTACACGTTACTAACCAAGTACGTCTTGATGGTAACATTGATATGTTTTTACAAGTTACTAACCAAGTACGTCTTGATGGTAACATTGATATGTGTCTACAAGTTACTAACCAAGTACGTCTTGATGGTAACATTGATATGTGTCTACAAGTTACTAACCAGGTACGTTTTGATGGTAACATTGATAGGTGTCTACAAGTTACTAACCAAGTACGTCTTGATGGTAACACTTATATGTGTCTACAAGTTACTAACCAAGTACGTCTTGATGGTAACATTGATATGTGTCTACAAGTTACTAACCAAGTTCGTCTTGATGGTAACATTGATATGTGTCTACAAGTTTCTAACCAAGTACGTATTGATGGTAACATTGATATGTGTCTACAAGTTACTAACCAAGTACGTCTTGATGGTAACATTGATATGTGTCTACAAGTTACTAACCAAGTACGTCTTGATGGTAACATTGACAGGTGTCTACAAGTTACTAACCAAGTACGTCTTGATGGTAACATTGATATGTGTCTACAAGTTACTAACCAGGTACGTTTTGATGGTAACATTGATAGGTGTCTACAAGTTACTAACCAAGTACGTCTTGATGGTAACATTTATATGTGTCTACAAGTTACTAACCAAGTACGTCTTGATGGTAACATTGATATGTGTCTACAAGTTACTAACCAAGTACGTCTTGATGGTAACATTGATATGTGTCTACCAGTTACTAACCAGGTACGTGTTGATGGTAACATTGATATGTGTCTACAAGTTACTAACCAAGTACGTCTTGATGGTAACATTGATATGTGTCTACAAGTTACTAACCAAGTACGTCTTGATGGTAACATTCATATGTGTCTACAAGTTACTAACCAAGTACGTCTTGATGGTAACATTGATATGTGTCTACAAGTTACTAACCAGGTACGTTTTGATGGTAACATTGATATGTGTATACAAGTTACTAACCAAGTACGTCTTGATGGTAACATTGATATGTGTCTACAAGTTACTAACCAAGTACGTCTTGATGGTAATATTGATAGGTGTCTACAAGTTACTAACCAAGTACGTTTTGATGGTAACATTGATATGTGTCTACAAGTTACTAACCAGGTACGTCTTGATGGTAACATTGATATGTGTCTACAAGTTACTAACCAGGTACGTTTTGATGGTAACATTGATATGTGTCTACAAGTTACTAACCAAGAACGTCTTGATCGTAACGTTTATATGTGTCTACAAGTTACTAACCAAGTACGCCTTGATGGTAACATTGATATGTGTCTACAAGTTACTAACCAGGTACGTCTTGATGGTAACATTGATAGGTGTCTACAAGTAACTAACCAAGTACGTCTTGATGGTAACATTGATAGGTGTCTACAAGTTACTAAACAAGTACGTCTTGATGGTAACATTGATAGGTGTCTACAAGTTACTAACCAAGTACGTCTTGATGGTAATATTGATAGGTGTCTACAAGTTACTAACCAAGTACGTCTTGATGGTAACATTTATATGTGTCTACAAGTTACTAACCAAGTACGTCTTGATGGTAACATTGATATGTGTCTACAAGTTACTAACCAGGTACGTCTTGATGGTAACATTGATATGTGTCTACAAGTTACTAACCAAGTACGTCTTGATGGTAACATTGATAGGTGTCTACAAGTTACTAACCAAGTACGTCTTGATGGTAACATTGATATGTGTCTATGTTACTAACCAAGTAAGTTACTAACCAAGTACGTCTTGATGGTAACATTGATATGTGTCTACAAGTTACTAACCAGTTTTGATGGTAACATTGTATGTGTCTACAAGTTACTAACCAAGTACGTTTTGATGGTAACATTGATATGTGTCTACAAGTTACTAACCAAGTACGTCTTGATGGTAACATTGATAGGTGTCTACAAGTTACTAAACAAGTACGTCTTGATGGTAACATTGATAGGTGTCTACAAGTTACTAAACAAGTACGTCTTGATGGTAACATTGATATGTGTCTACAAGTTACTAACCAAGTACGTCTTGATGGTAATATTGATATGTGTCTACAAGTTACTAACCAGGTACGTTTTGATGGTAACATTGATATGTGTCTACAAGTTACTAACCAAGTACGTCTTGATGGTAACATTGATAGGTGTCTACAAGTTACTAACCAAGTACGTCTTGATGGTAACATTGATATGTGTCTACAAGTTACTAACCAGGTACGTCTTGATGGTAACATTGATATGTGTCTACAAGTTACTAACCAAGTACGTCTTGATGGTAACATTGATATGTGTGTCTACAAGTTACTAAAAGTTACTTGAACAAGTACGTCTTGATGTCTTGATGGTAACATTGATAGGTTTCTACAAGTTACTAAACAAGTACGTCTTGATGGTAACATTGATAGGTGTCTACAAGTTACTAACCAAGTACGTCTTGATGGTAACATTGATATGTGTCTACAAGTTACTAACCAAGTACGTCTTGATGGTAACATTGATATGTGTCTACAAGTTACTAACCAAGTACGTCTTGATGGTAACATTGATAGGTGTCTACAAGTTACTAACCAGGTACGTGTTGATGGTAACATTGATATGTGTCTACAAGTTACTAACCAGGTACGTCTTGATGGTAACATTGATAGGTGTCTACAAGTTACTAACCAAGTACGTCTTGATGGTAACATTGATAGGTGTCTACAAGTTACTAACCAAGAACGTTTTGATGGTAACAGTGATATGTGTCTACAAGTTACTAAACAAGTACGTCTTGATGGTAACATTGATATGTGTCTTTAGTAAGGTACCACTTCACTAAATATAAATATTTTCGAAGGAACACTACTCTGACACCAAAACAATAATCTTAGTCTTATCTAAGTTAACCCCATATCTAAGACAAGGTCAGGACCAGTTATCCGTATTTGTAGGTGTGACATTGGGTTATGTTGGTACAGCTGACGAATTTTGAATTAAGACACATTTGAAAGGATCAGTTTCAGATACGACGATACAAGGCAAGAAACTGGAACATGATAATTGAAGAGAGTTTGTTATGTTGTGTAGAGGAAGAGTTTGTTATGTTGTGTACAGGAAGAGTTCGGCGATAGGAGTAAATGAAGTTTTGATGTTGTGGCGATGATAGACACACAACTAAAAATATCACCAATACATGAACATAACGGAGTCGATAACAGATGGTTGAATCCATGAACATCGATCTATACCCTCAAGGTTGATTCAACTCGTCAGTCCAATCACACACTGGGATTAAATGTATATGGTACTTGGGTCCTATGGGACGTACAGCAGGAAGACACTGGATCCCCATACATCATCTTCAGTTTAATCCAAGAATTAAGAAGGAATGTTTTCAGGACTAATTGTCCAGCCTACCTCTTTGACACAGCATTTGCCCGCCCCGCACGAGTTGGGGTCAGCAGGGTCGCAGTTGTCCACCACGTTCACCAGCTGACCATTCATGGTCTTCAGCGTCCCCTCCACACACAGACACACCTGGAAATACCGAGCGTAAAAGCAGGTTTGGAATTCACTACATGTATAGCTCCAAACTGCTGTCTACGAACACTGATTGAAACCGTGTGAAGCCGTATCGCCTAGTATCGGACTCCTTTATGTGACATAGTGTGAGTGAGTGGGTTCAGTTTTCGGCCGCACTCAGCAATATATATATGACGGCGGTTTGTAAATAAACGAGTCTGGACCAGACAATCCAGTGATCAACAGAACGAGCATCGATTTACGCATTTGGGATACGATGACATTTGTCAACTATGTCAGCGAGCCTGACCACCGGATACCGCTTGTCGCAATTTTGTACATAAAAATAGTATAAAATATTATGCTTAAACAATCTGGGAGGGGGGGGGAGGGGTTCATTGATTTTGTACATGACATGCAGTAGGTTACTTAATTTGTACATAAAGCTTGGGGGGGGGGCATTCACTATGTAAATGCTTCTCCATATCACAACCACCCCCCCCCCTAGCCATAAATTATGAACGGTCCCTGATGGTGATAATCACCAAGATACAAGCTATCATGATATGCACATGGACCAAAGTAATGTTCATTAGGGTTAAACGAGGAAATACCATCTGTTTACCCCTGTAAAACAATCTGTATTACGTTTGCTACATAACATATGTTTCGTATTCATATCCAGTTATCCATTCGATGAATAAGACGTTTCTACAATAAAGAACGTACTTTAGTGTAACTCAAGCCGCCATTAGTATGTGCAACCTGCAGACTTGGTCAATGCCCCCTGTAGACAAGCGCTACACAACTCACTGTGCAAAGAACCACCAGTGGTGTTAGCCAGATAGACATGGTGAAGGTCTTCGTGGATGTCCAGCAGACTGATGTCTGTTTCTTCAGTGTGGGTCAGAGATAAAGCTATGAGTCGACAGTGTCTCCCTATATCTGTGCTTATCTCCCTGAAGTGTGTGGGAAGAGAGTTTCAAGTGTCCAAAATAGCTCGCTAAACTTCGCCCATCTTAGAAAGTTTGGAACTTGTAAATAATTAAATCCAGTATGATATTTCGTTATTTTCCCATATCTTTACATTTACTAATTTTCCGCCTCAAATCAATCCTCAGTTCTTCCTTCAATACAATATATTAATTTCTAAACTATTTCTGCGACAAACGTCCCGATATGCGCAGCAATGAGCACGCTGTTCTCGAAGTAAGTCATCTTTCAACCAAATAAAGCTAGAATGTACTTTACCATGCGCAGCCCGGGCGGATGCAGCCCGCTCGCTGCGGAGCAGTTATCACAAACCTCTGTGAGTCGTTGTTCAAGTTGAGGTTATGTAAATCTGTGCAACTTGGAAAGCCTGACGATGTGTCAATAACATCACTAAAATCTGCACGCATCCCATGTGATGTAGTGAAGCGAGAGAGATTTAACTTGCAATTCAGGCCCTTATGCACTGTGTACTATACGCCCCTAGACACGTAAGAGGCGACTAACGGGATCGGGTAGTCAGGCTCGCTGACTTGGTTGACACATGTCATCGGTTCCAAATTGCGCAGATCGATGCTCATGCTGTTGATCACTGGATTGTCTGGTCCAGACGCGATTATTTACAGACCGCCGCCATATAGCTGGAATATTGCTGAGTACGACGTAAAACTAACTCACTCACTCACTATACGCATGTAGCCTCTCAGAACCTTGAATGGAACCCTACTTATTTATTACTATTGCTGAATTGGGCGAAGTTCCATAGATTCAAAATTCTCCTGGCAACCAATGTCGGTCTTTTCAAGCTCCACGTATTCGTGTATGTACAATTATGACTGACCTGCTGTTTCCACTTTCTACTTTAGACGTTGATAATCGCCAGGATTACAGATCACATAACAGTAAATCTGAAATAGTTTTCATCTTTAGGGTGTGTTTTGGTCCTTGTGACGGCTGCCACTGTTGGGAGTATTAGACTGGTTTGAGAACCAAATTGTTATGATAAAGTCGGAATCTAATTAAAGATTATGGAAATACTTTTGTGGCTTATTGTGCATATTGACTGTGTAAGGTAACTGGTGTTACCGTATACAGCATGGTCATCTGGTAACTTTATCTCGTCCATATTTTGAAAGGGTTATTTCAGATAGGATACTAACTTTAAACCCATTTTCAGTTGATAAGTTAATAAGAATGTACCCAAATTAAGATATGTTTACAGATCCGTCTTGAGACGATTGTGTATCAGATTCACCATATATTCCTATATAAACAAACATTTTCGTGACAGGTTGATCGGGAAAGCTATGTCTTTTGTGAAATTAGTGTAAAACTCCGACTACGTTGGCGCGCGTCATTAAATTGATCAAAGTAGGTCCAATACAGTGGAATCTGTCAAATCCGGACTCTTTGTTTTCTCTACAATCCGGACCTCTCTCTGAATCTCGGCAAAACTGTTCTTAATTTAACATTAAAGCTTGCTTTATAATGCGGACTCTCTCAATTACGGATTACAGTCCTGACAATCAACATGCTATGAGAACAATGCTTTGTAATAATAATTATGATAAATAATAAATGAGCATTTCTATAGCGCCTTATCTATACATCATATGCTCAAAGCGCTGTACATGGCAAAGATGAAATGTCCATCTGGATACAACTTTTTGAAGAGATGTAACAGTCCGTTGAATAAACATCTCCGTTACTTCTGTTCTCAATTGTTAATTAATTCTATAAATGCATATTATCTAATGTATATTCGACTAGGACCCAGAAGACGTCTCGTCACCCTCCAAGGATCGTCGCCAGTATCGCCAGTATCGCTCTACAGGTGATGTGCGTACAACATAAAACAGTGAATATGATTAAGCATTTATTATATGGTCAGTTAACTTCAGACATATGTTATGTCAGTGGTGGAAGTGCTATAACTGTACACATATCACCGTGAAGGTGTATTAACAGATGGAGCAAAAAGTCAGACCGTCTCGTATTTCACAAACTTAAGTCTGGCAGTTTGCGTACCTGGGTGAGGTGGTAGTAAATCAGATTATTGCCAAATGTTATCAAAGCTCACATAACACTTTGGTAACATTCGAGAGGGCTTTCAGAATGAGATTAGGAAAATACGTTCAATCGGAAGTAGCTTCTACCTTTCACCCAGAAGGATAAGTTGAAGGTTACATCGATGTGAGCCCGATCGATGTAGGGCTCCATACAACAGGTGTAGTACTTGATGTCCCCTGTCGCCGTGTTGCCGGTCAAAATCCAGTCCGACTGTGGACGGAAGTCGACGAGGTCTACACTCGTGGTCTGAGACAGCAGGTTGAGAAATCCCCCATTGTACGTCCAGGAGCCATATTTGAGACTCCAGGTAGTTGCTGACGTCGTGCCTTTATGGTGGTGGAGGCATATGCACGATGCTTCCGTCCCCACTAGCCACCGCCTGTCTTTCAGCGATACGTGCGTGTCTGTAGGCAAATAGCTATTACTTAGTATGCGGAAAACTTGAGCTGTAACTGTCGCCAATGGACAGCCTTGCTAACACCCTAGAAGGGCAGCGTTGTCTTATATGACTAGATTGTGTTCTATGTCATCAGCAGTACGCCGTCCATTGGACCGTACCATTGATCAGATGATTATTGGGATAGTCCACAACCACAAGTTGTGTAGTCTACACTCGTGAGACACTTAAACTCCCACCTGCATCAGGGTATCTTCGCACGTTAAACTCTTCAAAGCGACCTTTGAACCAACGCATGCTCACCCATTGTAGAGCACGACATCCGGGTACCAGTTCTTGGACGCCTGTAGGTGGGTGACTGTTACATTGTTGAAAGTTGCAGGGTCCCACGACAGCCTTGTGTCTGTCCATTGGAAGGTCATCCATGCTTCTATCTCAGCATCACCGGACTTTGGGTCCTGTCAAAAGGAAGACATAAAATTATGTGAACAGGCGCGTGAGTACAAGTAACATTCGTGTTGAGAGCGACAGGCATAAGGTGTGATTGTCTTTTGATAGAGAGAAAGGCGGACTTTACATTTAAGATGACCTGTCCACAACGAGGCCAGTATTGTTACTGAATAGCCTACAGCGACTTTGTAAGTACATGTATCTCTAAAGTACACTCGTAGTGGAAGTCAAAGTCAGGGACAAAAATATCATATGTAGCACAGCAGTGTAGCAGTTCTGGGTTTGTCGGAGTAACTGCAGCTATGTCAGGTGTTAAACTTAGAGTGAACGTACAGCATTAGGTGTGAAAGTAAAGGTTCATCAGAAGTACAGCTGTATTGGGAATCAAACTGAAGATGCAGCTGTACTGGGACTCAGAACACAAATCTAAATGAAGCTTCAGCTGTATTGATTGTTGTGATAGTGAAGGTACATCTATATTGCGGTAATAGTAAAGGATCAGCTGCATCGGGACTCAAAGTGAAGGATCAGCTTAATGAGACTTAAAGTGAAGGATCAGCTTAATGAGACTCAAAGTGAAGGATCAGCTGTATTGGGACTCAAAGTGAAGGATCAGCTTAATGAGACTCAAAGTGAAGGATCAGCTTAATGAGACTCAAAGTGAGGGATCAGCTAAATGGGACTCAAAGTGAAGGATCAGCTTAATGAGACTCAAAGTAAAGGATCAGCTGTATTGGGGCTCAAAGTGAAGGACCAGCTGTACTGGGACTCAAAGTGAAGGACCAGCTGTATTGGGACTCAAAGTGAAGGATCAGCTAAATGATACTCAAAGTGAAGGATCAGCTGTACTGGGACTCAAGTAAATGATCAGCTAAATGAGACTCAAAGTGAAGGATCAGCTTAATGAGACTCAAAGTGAAGGATCAGCTTAATGAGACTCAAAGTAAAGGACCAGCTGTATTGGGACTCAAAGTGAAGGATCAGCTAAATGATACTCAAAGTGAAGGATCAGCTGTACTGGGACTCAAGTAAAGGATCAGCTAAATGAGACTCAAAGTGAAGGATCAGCTTAATGAGACTCAAAGTGTAGGATCAGCTTAATGAGACTCAAAGTAAAGGATCAGCTGTATTGGGACTCAAAGTGAAGGATCAGCTTAATGAGACTCAAAGTAAAGGATCAGCTGCATTGGGACTCAAAGTGAAGGAACAGCTGCATTGGGACTCAAAATGACGAATCAGCTTAATGAGACTCAAAGTGAAGGATCAGCTTAATGAGACTCAAAGTGAAGGACCAGCTGTATTGGGATTCAAATAAATATTGGGACCACAATAAAGCCTCTGTTCACCCAGCAGTGAATGGATACCCTGGGGGATAAGATGGTCAAATGACTGTTAACCTTATAGCACCTCACAGGCAGCTTGGGTTGTAGCAGACTGAACCAATGACAGTGAGTGAGGGAGGGAGGGAGGGAGGGAGGGCGCGAGCTTGGTTTAACGCTGCTATGAACAGTATACCGGAATGACTTCCAGGAGCAATTTCACATCACACAATGTTTGCATACAGTTGTACTCCATATCATGTCAATCATAAATGCATGACCATGTTCTCAAATCTTACCGATGTGTCTGACAATATGGTTGATCCGCTTAGCTTTCCCGAGATGGTAGGCCTGTAGGCTGTTGTCCCAGTATCCCACACTGAACAACAGTTTAGCATCATGTGACACAGCAAACAACTTCGGGACAACTCGTATACCAGGAGCAAATGGACCTCCAACTCTCTTCTTGGTTCTGTTGGAGAGAAGCAAAATGTCACAGCAATCATACCAGTCACAGAACAGAATTATGGACTTGTCTCAGAATATTCAGAAATTCCTAGAAAGGCGTCAGTTTACTAAATCATCATGAAGGAAGTTGTACATTCGTTGAATAATCTAATCTATCATTTTTCTATCACTCACTTGGCATTGAACATGGACGGATCTTTCTCAAATGTATAATAGTTGGCGATGGACTTGTCAAATGGCAGCCAGCCATGGATGCCAAT